ATATATAAAATATTTTAAGATAAAAAGTTTATAAAAAGATTAAAAATTAAATACAGGAACGAACGGTTAAAAATACAAATTAAACAATCAAAAGTATAATAAAAAAATATAATAAATAAAAAGTATCTCTTAACTGGTAGTGCAATATTTAAGAGTAACATTTAAATGCAGAAAAATTGAGATATCTTGAGATCCAGAACTCATCTCATTAATAAAGACAAAAAAATCTAATCTGATACCATGTGACAGTAGAGGTAAGAGAGTGAAAACAAGTGATAGGGAAAAAATAAAGGAGGGGATATTTAGGAAATATTAGGAAGAGAATAGCGATTAGAGTATAGGAAGATACAGGTCAGATAACGAATCCATATCGGTTTGAAACGCTCACGTTTACATTCAACTTGTAAAATGCCATTAAAATAACAGCGAGAACTTAGTTGCGCACCTAATAATTAAAAAATTCTAATACAAAGCTACGAGTCGGATGATAGTTGTTAATAATTAAAATTAATCGAAATCTAATACATGTAATATACAAACGTTTCAACCCTTATCAGGCTATTCGACCTTCAGTGTCGTACAATATATGCGTAATTAACTATTCTAAAACATCTTCGAGAACATCTTAAAGATTGAAGCTAAGATATTGATGAAGATTCAACGTTAGTGTGCTGTATAGGACTGTGGCCAAGTTTTGCCCATAAGTCAACGCCAATAAAAATGGCGTTTTTTAATGTCAGCATTATGCGGAACGCGCACGCACGCACGCACGTACTAAAAATCTGGGCCAGTCATCAAGCCTTCTATTAATCTACTAAACGAAGAAGTCCGCGAATCATCATCAGTTATTTTAAGGTGCGCCTAGGGTCATGCAACTTTTTCCTTAGGGCGGAAACGTGAAAAGTGAAAATTTATTGAATGTACGTGTGTACATGTTCATACATACATACATAAAAATTTTCACTTTTCCGCTCTAGAAAAAAAGTTATATAATCGATACCCAGATTACCGAGCCGAACCTCGAGTATTTCGGCGAATAACAAATGCTTATGGAAATTTATTTGTCCGTAGTAAAAATATAATTCGTAAAAAAATTTTCGATTCAAGACCAACTACACTTTTGAGACTGAGATGTGATCAATCGAGATGATATCAAGAAATTCGAAATTAGGCAGAGACCGAGTTCGAGATCAAGATAGTCTTCTATCTAGTCTTCTCGTAGAGACAAGACCGAAACATTAGAGTAGGATATAATAATAACAATAATAATATGGGTTACAATAGATATGCAAGCGTAAGCATTTGTAAGTAGCGAGTTCGCTATCGAATTATCATGTCGCCAGGGAAACCGGCGTTGAGAGAGAGAGAGAGAGAGAGAGTGGGAGGAAAGTATTTCACGATCGAGACATTCCTATGGTGATACTCAGACATTCTCCGAATTTGGTCAAAAATGGAGAACGGCAAGCAGCAGCGGCGGTTCCCTCCGAGCTTCTTCGAAAGATGTCCCTCGGAGATGCGTTTTCGTTCCTCTTAATTGCTCATTAATAATGAATCGCGTGTCCGTTATGTAAAGCGATAAGTAAGCTGCAAATAAAGTAGTCGGCCGTTGAGCGAATATGGAATCGCGCGGACATTGTGCTCGCTGTCGCGCTAAATCGATCGTCCGTTATAAGAATGACGATCATTATCGATCCCAGCATGTCTTGGAAAAGCGGACAACCTTCTCTCCGAAAAGACACTCGCCTGAATGTCTCAAGTCCCGGGCCTTCGAGGAAGAAGAACGGAGGAATGGTATGATAATTTTTTCTTCTTTCCTTTTTTTCTCTTGAAGGACCATCGAAGAAGATTTGACGTAACATCGAGGCCCAAGGTTTCTTTGTATCTACAACAATGCTTAGAATTATCATTTAAAAATTAATTCATAAATTAAAAATAAATATATGTAAATAATTATTTAACATTATTAATTAAACCATGTTACAAAGTTTCTATCTTAATATCTAAATGAAGTATTTTGAGATATTGAAAAAGAATATAAGGTCAAAAAGTTTTATTATCTACAAATTTCAGAAATCAAAGACTTTATTTTTGAAAACCTATTTAAATTATTTGCAATTTGTTTCTGTACTTTACAGAGTAAAATATATCATTCAGATATTGAAAAATATAAATCTTATCAATCATTGTAATTTTTTTGATTAAAATATATTCCTCATCAATTTTATTACTTTAATATATTGTTTAATTATTATGTTATTATTATGTTAAAATTGTACATAGAAGGGGCTTTTACTGTAATATTTATTTTTATAAAAATAAATATTACAGTGAACGGCATATATTAATAAATTACTTAATAATCATTCATATAAGCTCTAATTTATAATTTTCTAACACAAAAGAATTCTTTTGCTCCAGAGATCGCCGCCTGCATCGACAAATTCGTTTTGGCGAAAAGATTGCACGCGGAGAATCTGCAGCACCAGCCACTTCCGGATCGAGTAGACGATTCCATCTTCAGGAAAGGATGTCGCGCTTGTTTGGCCAGTTACAGACGGGACGCGAAGTGGAATCAGGATCGAGCGAATCTCGCAACGAGGGTAGAGAATCGCTTTGAACCCGCGCTCGGCTGCAAGAAGCCGGAGACTCGGATGGATCTGGCGATCTGCTGGGAGACGCCAATAGACCCGGTATATGAGCCTCGTAGAGCGACGCACATCGACGGTTCCGAGGGTGGCTCAGCCCCGGCGATCTTTGCCATGATCCAGCACACTCGGGTGCCGAAGAATCGCGAGCTTCTGTCTCGTATCGAGGAGAAAAACAAGTGCGATTGTGCAAGACAGGACGAGGCGGAAAAAGATAGGAATCGAGGCTGCTATAATCGTTCCTACAACGGTGAGGAATAACATAGCACGGGAAAGAAAGGATAATCGATCGGACGTATAGAGTAGTTTAGGACAAGGAATGTTCGAATGCGGTTAGTCGATTCGCTTAATTAATAACTTATTCTTTAGAAATTTATGTTATTTACAATATATACTTCATTTTCTGTCGTTTTATTATTATATGTAATTTAATTATAACTTTGTATAAAACTATTATTAATCATTGAGAATTATATATTATTAATTATTAATCTCACATATTATTCATAAATTAAATTACCAATATATTATATAACCATTAATTATTTGATCAATTAATGCCTTTGTAAGCCATGCACTGGATCTCGATGTGAAGTATTTTCCTTTATTTAATCTCTTATACTCCAAACGTTTCGATCTTAATTCAATCCTTTTCAATGTCAGAAATTTACATTCGCGAAATTATTGTGTTTCCTGATACACTATACATTAATTATTGTATTTATAAATAACATATTTCTATGTATTTTTAATAGAAAATTATTAATATTTTATACTGTATAATTTGTAATATATTTACGTAATTTATATTATATAATATATTGTTTATTTAAATATATTATATATTATTTACTTAATTTTTGTTGATAGTAATTTATGCTATATAGTATTATTTGCTTAATTATACATTTATATAATATATTATTTGTAGAGAAGCATGTTAAACGCCGCGTAAGCGAGAAATTAAATAAACAATTAATAACAAATTCGATCGCAGAACTCTGTGGCGAACGGCGTCGCGAGAAGCCGTTGAGGTCGAATTCCGTGCCGCGCATCACCGAGCGTAAGTGCACGGCTTGCCGAGGCGGAATGGAAGCAGAACTCGAGCGGCGAAGAAAGGATCCGAGACTGATCCGGTCCGCGGTGGGTTTCGCGCTCGGTCTCGAGGAAAAGCGCGAGCCGACGATAGGCGACGACGTCACGCGCAGAAACGGATTACCGCCGATGAAGATGACAGTGCCGCGGCCGAGGACTCCCTTCGCGAGGCGCACTTTCTGCATCGACACTCTGGCGCCGCCGTTCAGCGTGATGAATGGCTGCCGGGATGCCGACTACCCCGAACACTGGCGCCTCATGTCCGTGTACCAGCAGTCATACAGGAACCCGCAAAAACGAAAGGCTCGCCGCTTCTAATCAGGCCGAGGATGAGTCTAATAAGAGAGATAATATGAGATCTGTTCTATGGTCGAATTAGCCTAATTAGTTTTATTGGTCTAAATTAAATACAGTTTTATGCAATGAATCTTTTTCGAGGTTCATTGTCTGTTAAAGAACTAATTCCAATTATTATTGATTATTGATCCGTTATAATAGTAAGAGAATTTTATAATATTTCATTGAGGTTTTCATTGTTAAATAAATGATTAATCCTTAAAAGGAAAATAAACATAGGAAAAAATCTTCCTCCGATTTTGATACGCTTTTAATATGTCGTAATTCAAACCATAATCCTTAGTATATTTATATTTTAATATTTTGCTATATTTTTAAAGAGTGAAACATCCAATCGGTTAGTTTTTTTCGTCAAAACTAGAAAAGATATGAAACAATTCTTTAAATTAAATAATTTTAAAAATATAATAATGGTATACAAAAATATTTTTAATTAATTTTTCGTTTATAACAAAAATTTTAGATGTTTTTATTATTATTATAAGTACTCTTAACACATTTAACTTTTGTTTATTAAAAAATTATTTTTCATCTATTCTACTTTTTACAAAAGAAATGTGTATGGACATGTATAAAAAAATATTCCTTATTTTATCTAGATTTATAACATTAAAAGCTTATCAAAATCAGAAAAAAAAAAACATTTTTCTGTGTTTCTCTGTTTTCCGTAGCTCAATAAAATGTTGCCGTTATATAATATAATTATATAGTATAATAAAATATGAAATTATTGAAAAGTTATAAAAAAATGAACGCAGAATTAAGATAATAATAAAAAAACTAAAATAAATAAAGAATAAAACAGAAAGTAAAAATATATCTTATACATTTTCACAACATTCGCCTTAAGCTTTCTTCTTTCTTTTTATACTGCTGATATTGATATTTCCGGTCATCGTCATCGGCGAGTCCGGCTCGCGAGCTTTCTCGAGTAACGACGTCTGCTCCACACGCGCGAGTATGATATTTTGCAAATACGCTAGGAAATTGGGATACGACTTCAGGGAGTTTTGAAAGTCGGTACGCGACAATATGTGGACCTCGCAAATTTCCACGGCGATGACGCTCGCGATCCAATGCTCTTCTTCCATCAGCAGAGCCAACTCGCCGAAGTACGCCCCATCTTCCAAGTGACAGATCTGTAAAAACACAGGAATGATTCAACTGATCTCCAAGTAACATAACATTAATGTTATAGTTTCAACAATGTAATTATTACACTAAAAAGAATTATTTATTTGATTAAATTAATTTGGTTGCTTTTATTTCTTTTGTTGGAGAATATATATATATATATATATATATATATATTTAAGTCTAATATAACATAGTTGACTTAAATACATCATACATTCTTTATTGAAGGAAGTAAAGATGAACTAATGTAAGTTAATGTGTGTTATATTACATTATATTTGGATGGTTTTCATTATTTGATGATACAAGTCGATACAAGTCGACTATTCTCTGAATGTCAAGAAGGATAGAACGACACTTGTGTCGACTTGTGTCATCAAATGGAAAGCATCCATTGTTGAGTGTGAAATTATGACATTGATGTTACTTCTTGATGTTTATGCATTGAACTTCGTCGATGGAGATTAGTGTTTAAATCTATCAAGACTTTAATGCAAAGTCATATGCTGCGACGACCGACAATGTGAGGACAAATCCAAGGCGGATTCCTAAATCTTTTACCTCTTTCTCTACATTGTTATAGACGACTACGGTGCCGTAGGCGATGAAGTACAAAGCATCACCGCGCGCACCAGCTCTAACTAACACATCGTCTGCCATAAAAATCTCGGAGCGTATGGCACCGACAAATTGTGCTATCATTATCTCCGTCAAATTTTTGAACAGATCCACATCATTCAGCAATCGGCGATAATTGTGCAGAAGAAGCTTCTGAAACGATAAAGGATCAATTCTATAAAGAATTCTAATGAAAAAAATCTCCTAATATAATATTTTTCAAAATTTGTCATATTTTCAATTTACAAAGAAAAAATATATTTTATAAGCTTTTTCAAATTTTATAATTTTTTTCTAGAAAACTATAAAAAATGAGAAATTTTTAAATATTTCAAAATTTAAAAATAAAAAGAATTCTAAAAAAGATGTAGACTTTCTACAATCATTACTTCGACAAGTGTTCCAATACGTATTCCAAAAAATTTGAGAAATTTTTTAAAAAGTTATAAAACAGAAATTCTAAAAAATTTCAAAATTTACAAAATAAATTTTGAAAATTATATTCTAAAAGAAATTTCATTACGGTAACATATAACTTCAGAACAATCTTATAGCGCATCATTTTTATCACTTTTGTGAAGTCTATCTTTTTTATGAAAAGAATTAACGAATATCGATCAGAATGAAAACGTTTTCGTAAAAATATACTTTTGTATATTCTTTATGAAATTTTTTAAGACACTGTACTTCTCGCAAGTAGGGCGATGCGTGGTTGATAATAATCTTGTTTCTCTCGAATCCCTTTTTGTTGCGGTAATTGTAATAAAATAGCAATCGCCGCTGCAAGGAATGCGGCAATTCCTTGTACGACATGTACTGTTGCAACTGCTCAATTAATTGTGAATGTCTCTTACGAGTGGAATGAATCGTCATCATTAACTGCAAGATTTGCGCTGTGGTCGTTTTGAGAAAAAAAAACACTTTTTATTGATTAATGAAATCACAAAACTTAATCTTAAGCTAAATAAACTAATAACGACAGAAGAATTGTGAAAATTAAAATAGAAGAGACATGATTTCAGAAATTTAATACAGATGTATTATAAGAAGCTTTACGTCACTGAAGATTATCTAAAAGAGAATAAAAAATTTACGAAGTTATACAGCATAAAGATAAAAATAAATATTTCAGAGCTTGTTTCTATATATCCAAATATGTCCAGTATTTTGTTAAATTACAATCTTTTGTTCAAATTAATTAATTTTAATAAAGAAATTTTCTTAATTAATCTAATTAAACAGGACGAACGTACCCAGCATATAAATAAATCCAAGCAATCCGAGGACGGAGAGAATCATATTATATATAATATCCTCTGGGGCTCTGACATCCAAATAATGCGTGGATGTAGTTAAGGCAATAATAGCTCTGTTAACACACGTTAGGTAAATCTGGAATTTTGTTTTCCTTTTCAGCATGTAAGGCGATCGTATCCATGATCTACAAATTTTTTAATATTTTTATTACTTTTCGGTTGGCCATGAATTTTATATAATTATCGTAGAGAAAAAAACATCCCAGTAAATAAATTAATAATAAATTCATTTGTTTCCAAAGCCTGAGTAGTGAATATATAATCACACAAAAAATTGGAAAATAAAAACCTTGCAAATTTAAGCTTTAGTCGGTTTTGATCGATTCTTACTATCAATTTACTGTTAGGTCAATAAATTTTGAATAATTTTTTCGACTATTTATTCTTACGTCAGTAGATTTTGTTATTTATCTGCCATCAATTTATTGACATTATTATAACAGAATATAAAAGAATTTGTTTAAATTTGGTGTCTTTTTATCAATATTTGTAACAAGTATTTGACAAAATTTATTTTTGACAGACTTATCCTACTGGGATGCCTTCAATACATTAAAATTGTTATATAAACAAAAAACAATTTAAAAAAATAGAAGTCCATATAGCATAAACTTCCAAGGAACATCCCATTGTCGAAGAGCGTACTAGAAATATTCTCAGAATATCTCCAGAACGTTCTTTGATAAAGTGTGCTATATGAAAGCTAAAATAGACAATGAGATAAAGAGAGAAAACAACACAAAGAAAAAAAAGAAAAGAAATTACAGATGCTTTTATATGTATACTCACTTAAGATATTTCTCTGGCTATAATCGCATTAGAAAGTTAATCGTTAAAAATAATATTTCTACATTACATATTTATTTTTTTTTTAAATCTGTAGATTTTCGCCATAAAGTATTAAAACTTCATAAGGTTTGGTGTATGAGTTTACATGTTAAAAGCTGAAACGTGTTAAAACTTTGAAGATGAATATTTTACGACACCGCTAGGGTCTTTGAAACTTTAACCACGTATAGATAAAATTATTTTAAACATAATATCCAAATTTAAAAAAAAAACTGTAGAAACTCAATTTCTCGGAGAAAATCTCCTTAAAATACGCTTGTTGCTATATACGTAAGTGATTAATAGATTTAAATTTTTCATTCGAGGTACAATGCGTAGATTTTGTTGATTACTAACGCATCATTTTGTCCAACCATCTTGGCGACCGCCAGCGGCAAATAATACTCCAGACAAGCAGCCCAGTGCATGCATATGATGATGATGACGCTAATCTCCGCTATCTTGTATAGAAGGAAATTAAATTCGTAAACCTGTAATTTTCATGTTTAATTTTTGAGTGAGTAAGATCTCAATCGATGCGTCGTATATAATAATAAAGACAAAGAAGAACAATCGTGTAAATCCTAACATAATAAAGTTGGCGAGAGTATTTGATGACCGTTCCCATCCAAAGTATCTTCAGAAAGTTCAATGCCGCCAAGTACCACATTGATTTGAAAAGCACGATGAAAAATTCCAAGGGTAGCACTGGCAACACATTTATGACGAAGAAACCCCGCAGATATTTGCTATATTTTTATTATCTTGTAAATCATTAAAAAATTCACCTTTCCAAACAAATTCTTAATTCCGCATTTTGAAAAGAATAGAGATTAAAGGAATCATAAAGCTATAAGAAATTACAATAATGTGTAATAAATTTTTAAAAATATGGATTCTATATTATTTAATATGGATTTTATTTATAAATATGGAAAACATAGAAAAAAATAAGTTTTTTTATCATAGACTGATCTTAATGATTAAGGCTAAATGCTCTGCATTCGTACCTTGCTACGATCCTTGGATTCAAAATTATTAGTTGCGTTTGACAATCATAATGACCGGTGAAAAACCAGATCACAATGTCGCATATAAATACGCTGTCGATCGCAAGGTTGAAAAGATACCATTTCTCAGGTTCGTCGAAATAAAATGCGAGAAAGACAGGAGTGATCATTAAAGCCACTATAATAAATAGCGTCATCGCAGATTCCCAAAATATTCTATATAAATTTTGTCGGTTCAGTACTTTTCGTTTTACAATTGGAACAGACTTAGCCAATTTTGTTATTTAATTCCGCTTATAATTTTATGGAAAAATCTCTGGCTGACCTGAAATTACTGAAAGGATGGATCATGTTGGGATGGGACTTGAGGTGTCGACTAATCTCATAATCGGCCGCCTGGGTGCTCTTCAGGAAGTATTGCACGAATGGATGCTTTCGTGACACTATCCGAGTACCAAGGAACCAACGTCGTAGTTGTGACCAACGAGAAGTTCCGGGAATCATTCTCATCAATGAATCCTCTTTCGGCGGCACTTCACAAATGTGTTCCAAGCACGGCTCACGTAGGAAATCTTGCTTTAATATTGATTATTATTTTTATTGTTACAATAACAAAATTCCAACTTGAGACAAATTAAAGTGCATATTACTGCGTTTCTTTAAATTCGTTTTATTATTCACAGATTGTTACAAAATATTGAAGGATTGCTTAAAATATTCTTAAATATTATTAAAATATTCTTTTTTTTTAATTTTAGTTCATATAAAATTACAAATCCATATAATTCCTTTACAATTATATTTTTTATCATGTATATCATATGTCTTCAAAGAAACAATACATAGCATATCGCACCCGAAGAGATATGTATATTATCTTATTTTAAATAACTTTATCAAAATATTTATATACTTTCGTGAATTTATTTTTCTTTAATAATCAGATAAAATTACAAAATGATAGAGGATTTTTTGACTCAGTTTCGCTCTACACAAGAGCGCTTGAAAAAAATTTCAGGACACCCTGTATAATAAAATATACACGAAATAGAGAGCTTAAAAAACGAATAAAAATCCTTATACTTAATTAATGTGGCAAAGCGATTGCAATTTTTTTACTTTTTTTTGGAAAAATAATATATTAATCGATATATTATAACATATATATTATATATTTTTTAAAATTAATTTAATACTCAGATAAATTTACTAAATTAAATGCTTATACGATTCAATATCATTGAATGAGTGAAATTAAAATAGAATTCTGTCTTCTTGGTATCTCTTCTAGATGATGATAGCATACCTGATTTGGTATCTTTGTAAGATCGGGCACAAAAGCCATTAAATCCATATTGTTTCCCTTAACTGTGACTTTAAAAATAAATTCTCTAGTCTCTTCTCGTCTATATGACTTTTGTTATTTCCTTGAAATGTCCCGTCCTTTTGTACAATCTTTCGTTATTCTCCGTTTCCCTATTTAAATTTAAAGAAAGAAATTCTAATACATTTAAATATGTGAAAATTATAGAAAATTCATTCTATTTCTAATAATGGATACTAATAACAATAAACATTAATTTACAAAAATATTAATGATGTATAAATCTAAAACCTGATAATTTAAATAATAAATCAGAAATTAGACAGTATAATATTTGTTTATATCCTTTTATTCACGGCTACATTTAATGATCACAAAACAGTAATCACCGAACGAAACGTGTTCACTGCGTTCAGTAATATCTCCTTAAATATCTCCGAATCAAAACTGTGTATCAAATTCACATTCGGTTTGTCCGACAACAGATGATCGAGGACAACTTGGCCCCGAGTTTTGTTGCCGTTCAACTCGATGTCCGCGTGCCACGGAACAACATTCTTGGCCATACGAGGTATCAACACAATTCCAGCTAAGAAAGCATCGCACACGGTATAATAAGGAAAATACTTTTTCGCTTGCGAGCGTCTGCTCTCTTCAATTTTGTTCATCATGTGCACGCAGGGTTTGTCTATTTTGCCTAGTACATCTCTTCGCCATTCCTGAAAAAATTTATTTCTGAAGCTACTATTATTTTGTGCTAATAATAGAGATTGAGTTGAACGTAATTAATTGCTATATTGACAATATAATTATTTTATGATGATTATTTAATAACTAATAAAAATTGCGGACAAAATTATATATACATGTGTAATTCTGGCCTCTAAACAGGATTCCCATGGTAACAGCCATAGAGGTTTGTTGATGCTGTTGAGTACGATGTGCACGCTTTCCGGATCTGCGTAGAAGTTAAATTCCGCTTGGGCAGTTATGTTACCCTGTGCTTTGAATATATTTACGAAAATTTAGATAAACGAAATTAAATTAATAAATGCTTATTATATATTATTACAATCTATATATTTTTATTTACACAATGGAATGCGTTCGACATTATATAGATGGTATTTTCTGTTCTTACTGATTACAGACGCCTCTCTTCAGGTTTATCTATTATATGATCTGTTTATGAATTTTATAATCTATAGCAACACAAACTACTTAGTTATATTTAATGTTTTAGTTTGTTTAAAATATCACGAGCAAAGAGGTAACTTTTACACTTTGACTGCCACGTATCCAAACGATATACACCTGTGAGTTCAGGACGTCGTGTGTATCAGTCTGTAATACACATATATTTCTTACTTATGTACAATGAGGAGCAAAAATGAGCGGCGCGCTCATCTACACCAATGTATGTATGTATTATAGCGAAGTACAAGCTCATTTTTGCTCCTTATTGTACATATTGCCATTTGTAAACTAAAAACACTTTGCTCTTATTTTGTATTGTAAATTCTGAAAAGGTCTATTAATTTAACAACCCTGATGAAAATTTGTCTCAGAATTTTTCATAATTTTTCAGAATTTCTATATAATTTTATAACTTTCTCGTATTTCTTATACGAATCGGAACACTTTTCAGAAAATCTACATCTTTTCTTAGAATTTTCCATGTATTATGTTAATTATAAAATATCATAAGATTTTTTGTAAGTATAATTTCGGATAAATTGTTATGAAATCTAAAAAATTTTTAAATATATAATATTTTTTTTTAATTATGGAATGAGAAACCTCAGAATATTTCAGAATTTATATATGAAAAATTCTGAGAGAAGATGTAAACTTTCCGAATATTTCCAAGTATTTCTGAAAAATGTTTCAATTTGTATAAAAATTATAAGAAATAAATTTTTACCAAGAAATGCAAGCTTGTCGAACCTTATTAACTCGTGTATATATATATATATATATTATATTACCAGTTGAATTTCCACCCATTACAAAAAGTTCTTTCACGTTGTTCACAAACTCTGGAAACAGTTTTATAGTCATCGCTATGTTCGTCAGAGGACCCAAGCAAATCACGGAGATGTTACCTTAATTATTAAAACAATTAAGTTAACATATAGTTTATGTTATGTAATAGCAAATAGGGTTGTATTAATTATATACCTGGCTCCTCCGATGTGATTCTGTGTAAAGCGCACACAGCATGCTCTTCTTGCAGTTTACTTGTATCCGGATCATCGGTGAATATATCTCCGAATCCATCTTTTCCGTGATAACATTCTGATGCTGTTTCTTTGGCATTTGGAGTGTCCAACAGAGACGAATACGCTCCTCGATAAACAGGTATCTATGGGAATAACTTTATTTAATACTTATTTAAACTCTTTATAAGGACACAAAAACGAATGATACAATAACTTACATCTGTGCAGTCGCATACGTGCAGCGTTCTGAACACATTTCTCACCACATTGCTCACTTTAGTGTTGCCGTTAACACAAGTGATAGCCTTAATGTTGAGTCTCTTGGTAGTGTGACTTGCCAAGAGAACGATTAAGGCCAAAGCGTCATCGATACCGGCATCGCAGTCCACAATAATGTTTCTTGAGACTTCCACTTCGTGCATATTTATTTCGGATTTTCTCGTCGGAAGCATTCTTAATTTCTTACCGTAAAGCAAAATATACGTAAGGCATCTGCGATGTTATCAGATTGAAGTGTAATATGGACGAGATGTACTCCCGTATTTATTGACGAGTTGATAAGACTGGTGTGTTGATTATGCGTCTTATTTGTTGCTACGAAGAGATAAAGGTCATTGAGTCTTATCAGACTCGTTTTCGCAGAAGGCGAATATCACACAATATACTGCAATCATATTTTCTTAGAGAAAATAAAGGATAAATCTGAAAATTTTAGGACGTAATTTCTAAATATTTACAAACTAATTTACGACTATCAGAAGTCTGCGTATCAATTTTTTGCATAGTATTGTATCTGAGATATATATAATTTCCAAGTTATGAAAGCATGAGTCATTATAACTACAAAATCACAATAGTTGCAAATTTTATTAAAGTTATTAAAAGTCACTTTTTAATCAATCATAATTTGATATATTTTGTTACTGCGACTTTGTTGGGCTAATATCGTCTTTATATAAAACTAATAAAGTTTAATTTAAACAGATTTAAGGGGATTACTTTGGAGTCAGCGCGGTAAAAGGTACGCAATCTACACTTATATAATCATTAATAGTATAATGTCTATTAAAAGATGTTAGTTCGAATGTTTCGGTTATTGATTTTAGCCATCTTCAGTAAATATATAATTAATACATTAACAAAAAATATCTTCTATCCAGTCGGAAAGTGAGAAAAACACAAACATCGTACAAAGAAATTGTCTGTCTTCTTGGTTAATAAATGATTGTGTTCTAATAAAGTTATTGAGAGTTCAAATTACGTAAAATTAACATTGAAATTGTACAAAGAAAGTGCTCAATTCTATAATATATAACACTGCAGTTAAGTATATTATAATATTGAGTAAATGAAAAAGATTTATATAAAATGTGATGAAACTTAAAAATCGTCAAGATGTATCGAATGTTCTTAACTGTTTCATGTCTAAGAATGTAACAAGATTTTAAGACAGATACTGAAAGGGCATAGAACGATGTTGTCATTGTGTAAGTTAAATCTAAATTTATTTACATTTATTAAGAATGTTATTATATGTTCGATCTAAACCATCTGTGTCTTTTTGAAGATTAAGACCATTTGTTTGGCATTTTATATTTATGATTTCTGAAATCAATTGTTTGTTAAAATATCTTTCTTTGTCCAGAATTTCTGTATCGTCCCAATCAATTTTGTGACTGTGATGCAAAGCGTGTTCAGTGATAACAGAATAAGAATTAAAATCTTTACGTATATTATTTTATGTTATTATTATTTTACGTTTTCTTGTAATTAATTTTCTTTTTGTTTGATCCATGTAGGATGCATCACAATCCTTACAGTTTATTTTATAAACGATGTTTCTTCTTTGTCCTTTGGATGTCAGATCTTTATGAACTTTTACAAATTTATTTAATTTATTTAAACTGAGAAAGGCCGTTCTATGTACATCGCCATTAATTACATTTTTTAATTTATCTGAAATGCCTTGCATATGAATAGAGAACCACCTTTTTTTCATTTGAATTTTTTTCTAAGTTATTCTTGTTAGTCAACAAATTCGTTTTTTTAATTAAATGTTTAAATTTATTAATTATTGTCTTGAGGATAAAATTTGTAGGATAATTGTCTGTTAAAATTTTAATTTTTTCATGAGACGTCAAATTTTTTTCATAAAATTCTGGATGTGAAAGAAGAAACATTCTGTCAACTAAACTTAAAATTGTGTCCTTCTGAAATATCGGATGTTGAGAGTGGAAATTGAGAAATCTCTCAGAAAAAGTGGGTTTTTGAAACCAATCAGTTTTTAGAAAAAACCTTCATCCATAATCAAAGTGACATCCAAAAAATTAATTTTGTTTCCTCCTTTTTCTATAATGAATTGGAGTCTGGGATGGTATGAATTAAATAATTGTTTAATTTACACAATGACAACATCGTTCTATGTCCTTTCAGTATCTATCTTAAAAACATCTTGTTTATTACATTCTTAGACGTGAAACAATTGAATAAGAACATTTGATACATGACGATTTTTAAGTTTCACAACATATTTTATATAAATCTTTTTCATTTATTCAATATTGTAATATACTTAACTGCAGTGTTATATGGGATTGAGGTAAGCACTTTCTTTGTACAATTTCAATGTTGACTTTACGTAATTTGAACTCTTAATAACTTTATTAGAACGCAATCACTTGTTACCAAGAACAGGCAACTTCTTTGTACTTCGTTGTTTGTGCTTTTCTCACTTTCCGACTGGATAAAAAATATTCTTTGTTAATGTATTAATTATGTATTTGCTGAAGATGGCTAAAACCAATAGCCGAAACGTTCAAACATCTTTTAATACATATTATATTATTAATGATTATATAAGTGTAGATTGCGTGCACCTCTTACCGCGCTGACTCCAAAATAGCCCCCTTAAATCTGTATTATATTTTTACAATTATTAGGAGTCCTATTTTATACATATATTCTTTACAATAATTAGGAGTCCTATTTTATATATATATATTCTTTATTCTAAATTGTCACTAATAAAATTGATAGTTTCGAAAAAATTATTCTTCTGAATGCGTTTAAATAATCTGCCGGTATATTTGACTAAATAGAATTTACAGGCAGGAATTATTTAATTATACCCCAGCGGATATTAGATTTAAACAGAACCCAGAAATTCAAAGTAATTGCGCTTTTGAATTCTTTTATTATAATATTTGCAAAAGCAAACTCTTGGATTCGAGAATTAATAAATACAGTATATCGATCTGACAATCTGATGAGCGATGTGATTCTACTTAGTGACGCAATGTATATGATTCCGGTTCTATTTTATCTAATTTGGCACTATCAGATTTGATGTAAGCGTTTTCTCGCGACTTGATGTAAAGGTCTTGTGATGTCGACGGTCAGAGATCTCTACAAGACCTTTATGTCGAGTGTCATAAGAAAACGCTTACATCAAATCTGACAATCTGATGAGCGATGTGATTCTACTTAATGATGCAATGTATATGACTTCGGTTTTATTTTATCTAATTTGGCATTTGAATAAAGAAGAACGAAGTAAATTGTCGGGAATCATCAACTTGAAATTTGTGTACCTATGTAATTTCAATTTATATTGTATATTGATAAGGACCCGAATTGAAGGGTCGAAACGTTTATGTTATTCATTTTACATTTACACAAAAATAAAGAATGTTCTGCGCATTCGTGCTGATGTAGGCTCTGATGGGCTTTTTTACATTTTTCATTACTGATATATTTTTTTATTATTAATATTACATATAATAATTAATATTAATATACTTTATTTAATATATATTAATAGTAAAATATATATAATATATATTAAATATAAATTATAATGTATTAAATATGTATATATATATATATATATATACAGGATGTCTCACAATTGCCGCATTTTCTCGTAAGGACACATTCTTGAGGTAATTTTGAGACAAAAATTCTACCGGCATTTTGCCTTGAAATTTTGAATTTTTTAATGTAAAATTCATGTATATTGAATGTTTATGTCATGAGGAGTCGACAAATTTTCCGCTGGCCACTATAGTGGCCAGTTCGGTTCCGCAACGGGATGGCCAATGTGGAAAATTTTAATTTTTTGTTTTTAGTGTTTCTAAGTGTTTTTGATGTCGCAGAACACGTTTTTGAAATCAGATTATCGAAATTGTATATAGAAATAGTGTTATTTACCTAGATAAGTCTAGATAAGTCGAATGAAATAACATATAAATATTTACATACATTTAGTGTAATCCAGGACTATCGACGTTGTCGTAGACATAGAAAATTATTTATGTATGTTCCTTTTTTCGTTTTCTTTACATTTAATTTTTTTTTACATTTTTATTTTTTTTCATTTATTTATTTATTTTTCATTTTTGTTTATTTTTTATTTATATTATTTTTTGCTAATTATCATTTTCCACCTATGAAAATGTTAGAATTTATAGCAAAGTCTGTATTGTATGAAAATCTTCAAAACAAGATGTTATGCGTAATGCAGTATTGCATAATCGCAAAATGCACAGTAATATCGAGTTCGATGTCTGGATTAATGTAATGAACACAAATATCATCGACGACTTTTGTTGAATGCTCTTGGGAAATGACGTCCTATCAACAAATCAGATTTAAATGATACAGACTTCTTTTATTACACCCGTACAGTACTGAAACTTGTAGCAACATTTCAATGTATATTGGAATACAATGTTGCAGAAATATTGCGAAGACTTCTTTTTGCAATATTACTTCAGCAATGTTACAGCAGTATTTTTGAAATATTTTCAGCAAGAGACACAAATTGACATAAGTCATTTCCTTGTTCAAAAGAAACAAAGACAAGAATGACTCTTGTGTCGATTTGTGCCTCTGCTAGAAAGTTCACTTTGAGTGTTAAGACTTGTATATATTGATTTGTGTATAACCCACTAAAATAAGAACCTGAACATAATGGAAGAATAGGAATTAATGATCACGTTTACACGGCACACTTAATCGGGTTTCATAACATCTGTAGTTATGAAATTGACCAATCTCATAATTATTCCTCTGAAAAATGGAATGACTGATTAGTTTCTAACTACGAATATTATTAAATCTGATTAATGTTTATTTCTATCAATATAGATTAATTTTAATCTCAATTCAACTTATCTTCGTTTTTCTAGTTCTAAAGATTAGAAGAGTAGTAAAAGACGAAGAGTAAGTTGAACCGAGTTTAAAGTAAATCTACATTAGTGGAAACAGGCATAAGGTATAAATGTAGTCAATGTTTATAATTTATAGGAATTGTACCTATAATTATAGAACAATTAGAAGTAAAGATTAAATATAATGCACAATAATAAGATATAAGACGTATAAGCCGTGTTCCGATACGCACAGCTAGTACTGAAAATTTATAGTTCACGTTACGTATACTGTAAATTTTAAGTACTGGCAGTATATCGGAACACGCCTATAAAATATAAAAGACATAATTAATTATAAAGTCATATTTTATTTATATTCATTGTATGTTACATTTAACTCCTACTTCTAATTTTTTATATTTAAATTTATATAGTACAAAATTTTATAATAAATATTGCAATAACGTTGTATATTACAGTAATGTTGTTGCATTATTACAATACTTCTGCAATAATATTGCAAGTATTCCTCCACTGTGCGCAAAACCTAATATTGCATATATATATATATATATATATATATTATAATATTGCTGCGACATTACGTATCAATATTTTTAAAACGGACATTTTTAAGTTTTATTGCTGAGATATTGCAGCGATATTTCACAATATTTTTGCAATGTTGCAATCATGCAATGAAATATTTCTGTGCTGTACGGGCAGTCCGACCCTCTAAAAGTTAATTGTAAGTTTAAATGCTTATAAGTTAAAAATCATTTTACTTTTATAGCCTCTATTATTATTTTTGGATTTTTTTGAACATTCTAAGACAAAAATCCTAATATGAAAATATCGAAACTATAATAATTTTTGAATTACACTGTCTTTAACCAATTATAATTCAAAAATTATTGTAGCCTTGACATTTTTGTATTAGGATTTTTGTCTCAAATTACCTCAAGAATATGTTCTTAAGAGGAATTGTAAGACATCCTGTATATCCAAGTAACACACAGCGCTTACAAAGCATTAACAAAGCACTAAAAAAGCTATTATAATCGTTTTTTTAATGCTTTGCAAACGTTGCTGTGCTACTTGCATATAGGTTCAAAAAATATTTCATACATTAATATATATAAATATGTATAAACATACATAAATATTCATGAACACGTATAATCATATATAAAATATGTCCATATATCATATAACATAAAAAATAATTAAAGGAATAATTTTCGCATTGTTAGTTTTAGAAAAAAACAAATTTGGAAAAATGTTAAAAAAAAATTGCTTATACACAATTACATAATTTTATATATAATTATTCATAAGTAATTTTTTTATATTTCTTCAAACTTGATGTTTTGTAAAATAGTGTGAAAATCATTCTTTTAATTATTTTTAATGTTTTCACATTACTATTGTTATTTCTATTATACTAAAAAATAATTTTACAAAAGAAAGAAGGATATATGAACTGCATGTATGGCATGTATTTCATATAAAATTATATATGTTTCTGAATATTTATGTATGTTTATACATATTTATACATATTATGTTTATACATATTCATGCATGAAAAACTTTTTACTGGGGGCGCGTTACTATTATAATACGAAATTTATAAAATTATATAATTTAATATATAAATATTATATCATATATTTATATATTATGTGAAATATATTGTATACTTTTACATATATAATTACATATAATCACAAAATCATTAACGTATAAATATTATTTTAATATATCGGTATACATTAATATTAAATATTTTAATATATTGGCAAATATTATTATTAAATATAGAGATTATTAAAGATTATAGACATTATTAAATATATTATGAAATATTCTTAAATAATTTTTATAACCTTATCATGGAAAGAGGGAAGACTCTTTAATTTCGATGCTTTCGTCAATTATAATTCTCGTGTTGTGCTTCGAAAAAAATTTCCGAAGAAAAATGGAACAACATTCAAATGAAATCGTTGAAAAGGACCGATCTACAGCTCGAATAGCAGCTTAGAACAGCTTAAAATGGCAAACGGATTTGAAACCATTTGAAATTTGAAATTTGCGTTTGTGTGATCATGTGATATGTTGCAACAGACGCGACCTCTAGATATTCGTTTATAAATTTTACTACACTAACCTAATCTAACACTTAACCTTTGATCTGTTGTCTGTTCCTGCACTAGACTGCTCTAGAACTCTCTTTCTCGCTTTAAACAAATATCGAACTATAGCGGATTGCTACATATAATGAATGAAGGTATTGGAGGAAACTCGGATTTGTAAAATAACAATGTTCGTTTATTTAATAGCACATACAATATTTTATCGCGACCGTGTAACTCGACTCGCGTCGTTAAGAGAGCCAAGAGTGTAAGCTATCTAGATGGGTAATTCATGGTCCTTTGTGTGAGCACGCCATCTGGAGTGTGTGAGCTAAGCGAGTATACAAGTATGGTTGAAGTATGACTGAAGGATTGTGAGAGAGAGAGAGAGAGAGAGAGAGAGTGTGTGTGTGTGTGTGTGTTTTAAGGTAAAGTGCTCCATAAAACGTATACCACTTTAAATTGCAAAGTGTACACTTATCATCCACAGAAAATAGACTTCTAGTTTATATATTATATATAACAGTTTATTGACTGTTTCTTGTGTACAATTATATATAAATTTATTAAAGAAGATAGAAAAATTGTGAAACAGATGATTAAAGAAATAATAACATAAAGCAAGAAACCTTTTGCTGTACTCTAAGGTGATAAAAGGCATTTCCAATCAGAGGGATCAACCAAAAAAGGGTTGGATTTATATATAATGTATAGCTTGGACACACACAAGAAATTTAACAGCTCCGTTTCGAAATAATAATTATTTTTTGTAGAAAGAAGATTGGGATTACTGCTTAACAATTAACAAATTTGTAAGAAACCATGGCCGTGGTGATAGAAACTACCATAGGAGATTTCACAGTGGATCTGTATACTGAGGAACGCCCTCAAAGTAAGTATTTTTTCATAAATTGTAATTTATAAAAATAAATATTTAAAATATATGTTGTACACTACATAAATTTAGATTATATCTCTGTATCTAGATCTATTCAATAAACTTTTGTATTTGTTCAGTTTTTCATTTTTTTCTCTTTTATAATATCTAATTATCTACTTTTTTATTTACTTTAAGTTTTTTAAATTTTTATTATCTATTTTGAGTGCACAAAGTACAACAATATATGTATAAAGAACAAACTTTCCTCTTTACATGATTATTTTTGTTTTTATAGCTACGCGGAATTTTCTGAAGCTGTGCAAACTAAAGTACTACAACTGGAATCTTTTCCACTCGGTACAAACCAACTTCATTGCACAGACTGGTGATCCCACTGGTACTGGAAAGGGTGGAGAGAGCGTATATGGAATTGTACTGGGCGAGAAAGCCCGTTATTATGAGGCCGAACAGATGCCAAAGATCAAACATAGCCGTGTAGGTTTATTGTCCATGGTAAATTGTGGGAACAACATGCTGGGCTCCCAGTTCTTCATCACACTGGGATCAGAGCTACAATCTTTGGACAGTGAACATTGCGTGTTCGGAGAGATAACAGAAGGATTGGAAGTGATCCTCAAATTTAACGAAACCATCTGCGACGGAGATCAAAGGCCATATCAAGACATAAGGATATCTCATACTGTCATCTTGGAAGATCCGTTTGACGATCCTGTGGGATTTGTAGTTCCGGACAGAAGTCCAGAACCTACAAAGGAAGCTCTAATGGTATACATTTAAAAAATAAGAGAGTTTGCAATCCCATATTTTTTTTTATTTATTAGTATATTGGTTTGATTTATTGATATATATTTATTATTGGTACTTTCACTGTCTGTCAAGATTATATTGAATAGGATAAAAAAGCACGTAAAAAAGATATTAAATAAATTTGATCATAGTTGCTAGGCTAAAGTTAACAAACGTATTTCTTTTCATGCTTTTTTCTTATTATAAGTGTAAGTTTTACATATCTTACATATCTTTTTAACAAATCTTTACCCTTTATTATTTTCTTTATCTATTTTTGTAATTCATATTTATTCATGTTTAGAGCGATAGAATTGGAGCAGATGAAGCAATCGACGATACCGGCGGCATGACCACGGAAGAGATTATGGAAATGCAGAAGAACAAGGAAGCGAAGGCGAGAGCTACAATATTAGAAATTGTGGGTGATATACCGGATGCGGATATTGCCCCGCCGGAAAACGTCTTGTTTGTCTGTAAATTAAATCCAGTCACGAACGACGACGATCTCGAAATTATCTTCAGTCGTTTCGGAAAAATTGTTGGGTATGTAATTTGCTTTTATACATATAGAAAAATATTATTCTATTACTAAAAAAAATGAATAGTTTAGTTTTTTGTGTTTAAGTAATAATATCTTTAACAAATAATATTTTCTATATAATAATATTAAAATATACTTTACTAAAATATATAAATTTTAGACAGAGAGAAAATAGAAAAAAAATCTTATTATTATGTATTCAAAACACGAAATTATTTTCTTTTGAAAAATATAAAATTTGATCAAAAAAGCGATTTTATATAATCGAATTTAATTTAATAATTTTGTGTGATTGAAAGAATAACAGATTTGCGGATACACGAACTTTTTAAATACTTAAAACAAGATTATTTTCTTTTGAAAAATATAACATTTGATCAAAAAAGCGATTTTATATAATCGAATTTAATTTAATAATTTTGTGTGATTGAAAGAATAACAGATTTGCGGATACACGAACTTTTTAAATACTTAAAACAAGTAATTAATATTTTCTGTGTGTACTTCATTATGCTTTTAATTACATATTACAGGTTAACGTTCTTGTTATCAATTAATTTTTTCTCTAATTATATATTAAATTTTATATTGAATTATTTGTAACTTATCTATTTAAATATATTATTTCTAAGTCATCTATTTAAAAGCTCGAAATAAACCACGATACCGTTAAATTGCATTGCAATCATACGAGCCTATTTACTCTAATTTTAATTTTTTCTCATTTATTTTATTTAATATATTTTAATTTACATCATAAAAACGTGGTTTATAATTCAAAACGTATGAAAAGATGAGCATAAAAAAACCACAGCACAAGTTATAGTTTGTGATATTTAATTATCATTACATTAATAAAAACATTAGACGTTTCGGCCACAATCTGGCCATCCTCAGTAAATTCACAATATTCTTAAAACGCAGAGTAACATATAGCTGACATTAAATTCAACCGTCGTATGATATAATTATATATAAATGTGTTTTTTCATAAGTGAAGGTTCCTCGTACAATAATATTGCACCGTCAATAATCATATCACGAAAAGTGTAGAACGAGAATTTCCAGATTCTAATTTAATAAATTTACGTATCATTAATATCTTCTAATCGAAATGTGTGAGAATAGAATCATTACCTGTTTTACAGTAAAAAAATATAATGATGAATCTCAAGTACATCCTTTGCACAGATGAAAAATTGTCGTGATATTGTGTGTTATTTGTCATATCATATATGTTACCACTATTTATATGTATAAGTCAAAAGTTTAGAAAATTCTAGAATTATTCATTAAATATTGAAGATGATTCTTCCTTCTTGTCTCATTAATTTTACGTCTAAAAAATTTATGCCGTTTTCATAGCCAAAGTCAACAGTAAATCTAAGCCTTTCATGATATGAGTTGAATAATTTCAGAACCCCCTGAGAATAAGATCATATAGGAAGGTGTAAAGGAAATGAAACGATTCATCTCAAGAATCCTGACATTTTACTCACTAGAGCGGATAAAGGTAATACTACAGTAATCATGAATCGGAAAGTTATAGAGAGAAAATGTATGAGATTCTCAACGATCAGACCACATACAATGTAATAAATAAAGATCCCACTAACAAAATGACATCTGAAATCGGTAACTTAAAAAATTGGAAAAATAAGGAGTATATCGATCTAAACTTATACAAAAAATTGTATGTATCGGACGGCGAACTTCCGAGTTCTTATGGACTGCCAAAAATTCATAAGGAAGGTCATCTTCTAAGATTGATAGTTAGCTGCATTAACAGTACCTTTTATCCACTAGCGACCTTTTTAAAAGAAATTATAGATAATAGTAACAAAAAGAATTTTAGTTATGTAAAAAATAGTTTTGATATTGTAAATAAACTCAATGGAAAGGTAATCGATAAAAATTTTAGTATTATTTCATTCGACGTGATCTCCATGTACACGAACATTCCGACCGATTTAGTATTAAAAAGCATTGTAAGTGGAACTTGATTGAAAGCAAGACTTTGATTCCTTTACATGAGTTTATTAAAGCAATTATGATTAATTAACTCTACATTTTTTCAATTCGACAAAAAAATATTTAGACAGATTTTTGGCATGCCAATGGGCTCTCCTTTGTCCCCTATATCAACGAACATAGTTCTACAAGACTTAGAACAAGAAATTATTACTGCTAATAATATTATTTCGTCTTTTTATTTCCGTTATGTGGATGACATTGTGTTAGCGGTGCATAAAGACAAGGTTGGGGGGTTCTGGAATTATTCAACTCTCTCTCTCATGAAAGGCTTAGATTTACTGTTGACTTTGGCGATGAAAACGGCATAAATTTTTTAGACGTAAAATTAATGAGATAAAAAGGAAGAATCATCTTCGATATTTACTAAAAACCTACGAATTTTGATAGATATTTAAATTATTTTTCGAATCATTAGTACATAAAAGGGGCGTAATTATCAATTAGGGGTAATTAGAATTTTGCTTTTATCCCATCCAAAATTTCATGAAAAAAACATCTCTGATTTAATTCACACTCTTTTAATGGTTATCCTCTTAAATTCATATTTTCAACAATAAAAAAATAGAATAAAAATCTTAGAAAGTAGAACTACTTTAGATCAAAATCGTGAGGACAATAATAACGAAAGTGACTCTAATTCAAAGAGAAAGTTTTTCACGATATCATATTTAAGCAAAGTATCTGAAAAATTTAAAAAACTTTCATATATTGATCGCTTATAAACCCATGAATAAAATAAATTTATTTATAAAAACTGGAAAAGATCCTTTGCTTAAGGATGACCATTGTGGAGTAGTCTACAAAATAAATTGTTTAAATTGTGAATCTTCTTATGTTGGTCAAACAAAAAGGAAATTAAAAACTCGTATTAAAGAACATAAGGCTGACATAAGAAAATTCACTTCCGAGATGTCAGTGGTTTCACGTCACCAGTTGCATGAATTGGATTGGGATAATATAAGAATTTTAGACACAGAACAATCGTTAATGAAAAGAAGAATTTTTGAAATGATATACATTAAAGACCAAATAAGTGGTATCAATAAGCAAAGTGACACTGAAGGTTTGCCTGATATTTATCTGCCTCTTCTTAAGAAAGCTCTCTCTCTCTCTCACACGTAATGAATAATTCTAGAACTTTCTAAACTTTTGACTTATACATATAAATAGTGGTAACATATATGATATAACAAATAACAACACACAATGTCACGACAATTTTCCATCTGTGCAAAGGATATACTTGAGATTCATCATTATATTTTTTTACTGTAAAACAGGTAACGATTCTATTCTCACATATTTCGGTTAGAAGATATTAATGATATATAAATTTATTAAATTAGAATCTGGAAATTCTCGTTCTACACTTTTCGTGATATGATTATTGACGGTGCAATATTATTGTACGAGGCACCTTCACTTATGAAAGAACACGTTTATATATAATTATATCATACGACGGTTGAATTTAATGTCAGCTATATGTTACTCTGCGTTTTAAGAATATTGTGAATTTACTGAGGATGGCCAGATTGTAGCCGAAATGTCTAATGTTTTTATTAATGTAATGATAATTAAATATCACAAACTATAACTTGTACTGGTTTTTTATGCTCATCTTTTCATACGTATATCTTAATTTTTTTATTATAACTTTTTATTATATATAACATAATTTTATGAAATTTTATGATTCATTAACTTTGCAGTTGTGAAGTTATAAGAGATCATCAAACGGGCGACTCCTTGCAGTACGCATTCATCGAATTCGCGGATCGTAAAAGCTGCGAGGATGCATATTTCAAGATGGACAATGTTCTGATCGACGACCGAAGGATACATGTGGATTTCTCGCAATCAGTCGCGAAGATGCGTTGGCGTGGCAAGGGAAAAGGTATCCGGTATTTCGATGAGGACGACAAGCCGAAGAAACGCGAGGACAATTATTCGTCTTCGAGGAAACTTGACGCATCGCACAATAGGGATCATGACAACGGTAAAAGTAAAGAGGAAGGAAAAAGAAAGGAGAGCGATAAAGATCGTGGTTCCGAACACAAAAAGCAGCGCCGAAGAGAAGACAGAGATACTAGAGACAGAAGAAAAGAAGATAGATCGTATGATGAGAGAAATAAGTACGATAGCGAGCGAAAAGATAGAAGAAGAAGAGAGGAACGACGAGATAGAGATAGAAGTGATCAGAGAAGAGGTCATAGTGAAGACAGATCGGAAAGAAGAAGTAAGAGGGACGAGAACAATGACCGAAGAAGAGATCACAGCGAAGAGAGATCGGAAAGGAGAGGTAGAAGGGACGATGACAGAGAACGTCGGCATAACGAGAGGAAAAGACCGGACGACGATAATGATACGAGACACAGATCGCACAAGCATAAAAGAAAACGCATGAAAGAAAATAAGACATGAAAGGGCTAGAGAAGCATTAAGCTACGTATTCACTAAAGTAGGCCTGTCCCATTTGAGCTCCGAAGCCAAAACGCAAATTCATCGATGCAAAAAATTCATGTGAATAAAATTTCGTGGACTGTAAAAATTAATATGTATCTAAGTGACGCTTATCAATACTTTATAGTTCTAAAATCTTATTAACATTGAATTTTTTTACGTTAATGGTTTTGCGTTTTGGCACCGGAACTCAAATTAGACTGCACTAAAGGAACATAGAGTAGCATTTGCATTTCTATTATCTGTTTCTGCAAAAAGTTTCATGTTTCTCGATGTTCCTCGTTGTCGCTAGGAACAGAAATATGACTACTTAGCTCTATATAGAAGCAGGATTACATCTCATGAGTTTATTTGGTGAAGACAAATTTCAGTTGTCAGCAACTGAATAGACAACAAAAAGTTCCTCAATGTTCCTTTGGTGGATTTAAGGTATATCTATAATAAGACCATTCTCTTATATTTGAGAAATATGTTGTAAATGCAGTACCAAGATGTGATAAACTACTCCGTTCAATGAGAGAATAACTTCGTCCGTTTTGCGCAGGTGTTCATAGCATTATATTTGTGCTGCATTATATTGCCTGCTATGCGCAAACCGAAGTCATTTTCTCGTTGAACAGAGTATAATCTTAAAACCTTACTTAAATCGATCTTGAAATGATTTCCTTCCTATTGTAAAAAAAAAAAATGAATAAACGCACAGTTTACAAGAGGGGCTGTAATTCAAACGTTTCTTTTTTTTACATCGAGTAAAATTGTCAGTATTCTTTCGAGTACAAAATATTGAGAAAAAAAACGTATTCTTTAAATCAATCGGCACAAAACGGAGCATCGATCGGCGCACGCACTTTCTTCGCAGATTGATGGAGGCGATTTTCGCAAGGCCACGGGAAGCTCTACAGATTCTATAAATGGTAATAGCGCGTATGATAAAGCTATCGAAACCACAGAACAAAGTAGTAGTCTCGATGGGGCGTGACGCCGATGATCGCCGTAACAAGTATGACGATGAGTGATCAGAACTGATTATCGAACGGCCGTATAAAAAATAGAGAGCGAAAAACGATCTAGCGGCGTACCGTTCGAGCACTGCCGCCCGATTTAAGCAGAATCACATTCTCTCTGCCCGGCGCACTTTCGAGTCCCAAGTCCCGCTTTAAATATTATAGGAACGATAACAAAATCATTTACGTGGACATGCAGGTAACGAGCTGCGCAGCCCGCGAGCTCTCGCTGAACGTTCTTTTGTTTCTTTGGTGACGTCGCAATTTGGTATTTTGGATTCTTGCCTCGCAGAACACAAACAGCTTCAATCATTATGTTATTTCAATGTTATAACTTCTTCTTCAATATAGATTAGAGATTAGCAAAGGAACCTCGTGAGGTGCCAAATACTGATTTTAATGAAACTTTGTGTACAAATAGAGTAAAAAGATGAATTTAGAAAATACCAATTGCGACGAAAAAACGGTTTGAAGAGATGAAATCATTCCTTTTATATGTAAAGCAGTTTTCAGCTTTTTCATTATATCTCGAAAACTATTTGAGATATCAAAAAATGTTTTATACAAAAATTTTACAATAAAAATAGCTGTATAATTTATATTGAGTTATTTAAGCATTAAAGACCCGCTTGACCGTTTAAATCTTTTATTACTTATTCATTATGTATTCACATTATGATCTTACAAGATTGTTTAATATTATTACTGTTTTCTTTGTTAGGACTCATTAACTGACTGATGCTGTTTACAGAAAAGAGTCAGAAAGACAAGCATTCATTTGCCTTCCTTTTATCTATCAAGCCGCAGTTTCCTACAGTTTAGTAGAAGATGTGCGTCAGTACATTATAGAACTCTTTGGTTACGTTAAATTTATAGTGTTGAGTGGGAATATATTATAATATTTATGTAATATTAGCTGTTTGTATTCTACAGGATAGATGTAGGAAGGCACACTGGATCCTCGCTTCGTTCGCATCTCTCCTCACGCGGTCGAGAGACGGGAACGAAGTCGATGAAGAAACGGAAGCCGATCGGTTGCGATTCGCAATTTTCACGTTGCTGAATTAGGAAAAAGAAAGATCATCACCTACACAACATCAGATAGTAGCATATATGCGCGATTATCTTACTAATCATTTGTCGAGTTGTTTTACGTATCGCTCCCGAGAAAAGAAACGCGCATCTTGACTTTTATTCAAGAGCCTCCTTCGACAATTCCGAACTCTCGAGCTATTTTGCGATTTTTGTGTCGCAGTTACCTTATAACGCCTATTTCTTTTCTCTTTTCTTAAATAGAAAGCCCTATCTTAATCGCACGTTTCATAGCTTCGCTACATCACAATCGGTCCATATCCATACGTTACAAGTTTCGAAAGAAAATTTAGCTTAATTGCGCCGTATTACATGAAACGCTCTATAGATATTCCGGGGAGGGGAAAAACAGAACTATTTAAATTAAGTGCGTACGCGTGCATATATTAGATAACTAATTTCCAATATGTAACACAAATAAATACGGTGAATTATATTAGGAGACATTTATGATACACAAGATGATTCTGTAATTAGGTATTCTCTACTTTAGAGGATGTATTCAGAGGTCAAAAAAGTATCATTCGAGCATAGGCCATCCAAATTTTATTTTCCGAACATTTTTCCTTTGTAATTTGGAAATTTTTTATAAAGCTTTTAAACCATATGTGTTTACATTACAATTATTATTTCGAATAATTAAAATATGCATATTTATGTGATTTTTTTTATCTTTTCTTTCAGAAAAATTATATAAAAGATTAAGCAAAAATTTTAAAAATTAGTATAAAAAATTATTAAATTGCTTGTAAATTTAATAAGTAATGTTACTCTAATTTTGTTTATGATTGCGTTCTACTCCAAGATATAATGATTTATGTTTACATCTTACGTTAGATATTTTATGACAAAAAAGAATAGTAGAATCTTCAGGACTTAACATATTTCTTTTATTAATTAATAAAAAAATTAAAAGATTGATACAAAAAATTTTAGTTAAAGAGAAATAAATTCATTTTTAAACTTTTTGAAGGTAGCTTAATAATACAAACATATAATTAAGGAGCAGCCACAACTCAAGATGTTTTAAGAGATAAAATAATATATTTTGAATTAATACGTTAAAACGTAAAATACGACGTTTCGGTTAAGATTTGACCATCATCAGAAATGAATTTCAATTCGAAATAAAAATTGATAAAATATTAATTAAAAGAATAAAGAGTTTTCATCCTCTGCAGTATGTAATTAAGAATCACCTTGTATAATGCAAATATGTATATATGCAAATATGTATAATTATATATGCAAATATATATAATCTGCAGCGATATATTTTTCTATAATTCGCTCGCGACTCTTCCGTACTCTTCCGTATAAATAAAGGAAATTGATTCAAGAGATTAACGAATTAATGGTCAAATTATTAAAGCCACATTAGATCTAATTAGAATCCAAAAGATCTTATCAGAGAGTTTACTGAATCCTTATAAAAAAGTCCCGGATTTTTCAGATATTTTTATTCAAAGTTCCAAGTAGGATTGAAGAACATTTTATGTAATATATAATTATAGGTTTTTCCAGATTTTTTTCAGGTAATAAATACTCTAAACTTTATTATCAGTCCTAGAGAAGATCTTTTTCTTACTTCGTATCGATGGTGTACAGCGGATTGTACAAATATTGTAACAGAACACAGAGACGCAATATAATAATAATAATAATTATATATATATATATAGACATATCGCGTAAGAGATAATATACCTAATAAAGTTTACACTTTAGTTTTTCGTTTATCGCTTCGTTCTTTGTTCTAAACGCGGGGAGACTAACTCAATCGTCACGCGCCTTGAAGAAAAAAATAGTAACGTCAAAATAACAGCTAAGTAAATGAGATAATCCGATTTCTATATCTACGTGATCTCCAGGAAAGATTATTACATTATGATAAAGCTACGCGAAAAGAAGTATCGTCTCTATATCGAATAACGTGCATTACGTGCGTTACGCGCCGTGCGTATCATCAAGTATCGAAACCGAGAAAAGAGAAGAGGGAACATCAAGGTATTTACTGAAATCTTGTAAAAAAAATTCTCTAAGAATTTTCGAATTTTTCACGTATTTTTGTACAAAATTCTAGCTAAGGCTAGAGAATTATTAATGCAACTTTGAAATAAATTAGAGTAACGCAAATTAAAAATTAATACACTGAAAAAAAAAAGATATTATATTAAAATTATTTTTTCAGTGATAAAAAACAGATTTCGAGAGACTATGTTTATCATTTTATATAAATGGAGCTACGAAATTTGTAGAATAGTACAGAGAAGATTCATTATATACAATGTAGTATCAATGAGCTACTCTATTGCTGAGTATTGTTTTCTACTCTGATTTGTTTAATAAAAACTCACAAGATATACAAGAATATATGTGGATGTATATGCCACATACATATTACTGTGATTGTCAACATTTTGCATTATCAAGAAAAATTAAAACAATGTTTTCAGAAAGGGATAAAATTAAAAAGTAAAATTCCAAAAATATCTCTAAAGATATAATTTGATGCTAATATTCGATGCTCATTTTTAATATCAAAATAGGTCAATATCAAATAAATGTCAAAATTCAATTTTGATCATGTGACCTGTTTTGAAGCTGAAAAGGAATATCAACATGGGAAGGTACCTTAAGTCCTGATAAAATTCCTGATTTTTGAAAGTAAAAAGAAATCCCCTGATAATTCCAGGTCTTCTAGGTTTTTCCAAATAGTAAACACCTTGAACTTGTTCCAGAATGAAAGTGCGTCGTTGCAATTCCTTTCTATTTCGGTCTCTCCCTCCTCGGCGTCCAGATTTGATTATTAATCCAGGCTCGATCCTTCGGAGCTGAGGAATCATAATATGCTTACGTCGGAATAGAAAATTCCGAATAGAAAATTTTCATCCGTTTTTCTTTTCGTGGAAAAGAAAATCGGGGACGCACGTTTGCAATAAGAAACGAATCGCATGTGAAGCGATCCGCGAGAAAGGCACTTCGCATGGGGGAATGTTACCCCCTAAAAAGGCCGCCGTTAAACGCGAGACGCGATCAGGGAAGACAATTCTTCTTTTCTATTCTATCGAGAGAGTTACTTTGGTAATGACTAGGTCATATACTACGTCGCGCGCGCGCGCTACGTTAGTTTAATAGGTCGTGGTGTTCGTGTTCGTTATGGCCTGGCGATTGGCTTACTAAATAGTGAATAGTAATCGTAATGGCGCGACACGCCAGCTTAGGCGCTTCCCCGTTATGGCCATCCTTCGCATCGCGTTGCTTACACGCACCGTAAGCTCGTGGTTACGTTACGACGAGACTTGATGAGAAATGTCGATTTAACGCGAAAACTTGTACTTTATGCTCGGCGCCAACTTTTCGTTCAAATCTCATCTCAGAACTCACGCTCAAACTCAAGAGGACTAATCGTCGAAACATGTAATCTCGAAATGCGGAACGGTTCGGTAGTCGCGCTTTGGTTTAAGAATTAAATAGTTAAATAGTTGATTAAAATTCAAACAGAATTCTTCCGCCGAGATTCTCTCTCGAGACTCGCGATTATACGTGTAAAATCGAGAGAGAGAATTCGTCAGGATTGCCAATCAAAATTTCAATAAGGAGTAGCCAAAAATTGATTATCTAAATAGATTTTCAAGAAATTTTCAGTAGAATTTTATTGGTGAAAATCTATTTAATTGACTATTTTGGATCAATTTTAGTACACTCCTTTGTTCTGAATTATTAGAAAAACAAATCCTCCGAAGGCGGATTTATTCTTTTCAAAACCGTCGGATTCAGATACGAAACGAGTATCCGATAGACGATAATTAAGATTAGCTAGTCGAACCGTGTCACGCGTTTTGAGATCAC